CTGTGTGTGTGTGTTTATGAAGATCTTCCTTCTCGGTGGATTTATTCCACAGGCCTGTCCTGGCCACTGAGAGCAGTTGTTTCCTCCCAGATGCCTTTTTCCTTATGACAGACAGCTGCTTTGCACTGTAGTATTGAAGGTGCTGAGCAGCCTTTTAGATATCTTGTGTCCAGGCTAACTTGAACATAAATGTAAAAAGAAGCACTGTGACTGCAAACTGGACATGACACTGCCTGAGGAGCCAGCAGAAGTTATGAAGAACAAATGGGGCATGTCTGTGGCTGCCAGATAGCCTAAGATAAGGGTTATAGTATGCTATACCAGTGAAAGGATCCTGTGTGTTGAAAGCTTTGTGCCTAGACATTGCAGTCAAGCTGAGAGCTGATGAGCCAGACAACATTCATTTGTTGGCTACCTGGAGATACACAGTGTTTCTTCTGGATGCTGTTGTATGAGATCTTAATTAGCAATCACCAGGAAGTCCACAGTTATTCCTAAATGGTGGACAGAATGGACCAATTTCTGATGTGAACTTTCAAGTAAAAAAAAAAAAGGTTTTACTGGGGCTGCAAACTCAGCAAAAAACCCCCATCTCTTTCTCCATATCCTTATCACTTGAGTTCCTCATTTGTGTGCCGATCACATCCAGACATTGATTATCTTGTGCAGCCTGTTCCTCTGGCTGGCTTGGGAGCGGAGAGCAGCAATTCTGTTGTGGAGACGTTCAGGAGTTTTGCGATTTGGCACAAAGGCATTTTACTCCCAAGAGGGAAATGACACAGGGTAGGAAGAAAATGACTGAGGTGATCAAAGTAGTTCAATTTGATAATGCTGAAATGCAATTTTGCTTAGTGACTTCACAAGAAGCCAAGGAAATGGAAGATCATTTGAGACCTTTCCTTCCCAAGATACCACAGTGGGCACCTGATGGTGGGTGGGCTGAGGGAAGCAGTGGCAGGCTGGAGGTAGTGTTGTGAAGAAGGGATGGAGGTTGTCAGGAAATTGAATAGGTTTCAGCCCCTGACTCAGGGGTTCTGTTAGACCAGCATCTGCATTGAACAGTTTTGGTGAGAGACTGCACTTTGATAAATTTACATTTTACTCATGGAAAAGGCAGGGTAGAGACTGAACTCCCTCAGGAGGGAATTCTGTTATCACACCTGGACAGTGGAGTACAAAGGGCTTTATTACCATTAAGTTCATTCTCCAGAAAGACAATGAGCAAGCATTTTTAAGGCTACTTGTCCTACAAAGGAGCACAACAACTGACTGATTGCAAAAAAACCCAAAGAAACAAACAAACAAAAACAAAACAAAACAAAAAACCAACAAAAAAACCCCACACACCAGGAGCAGGCTTTGGAAGGGTTAATAAACGACCTCATTACCTTGCCACAGCTGTAGCCAAGTAGCCAATTTGAATCTTGGTGTGAAAACCACAGGTGCACCAAGGGGAGGAGGTGCTGTGAATAGTAGCTGTGTTGGAGGTGCTGCTGAGGAGCAAGTTTGTCATTTGAGGAAGGTAGGCATGTGGTGAGGGGTGGGAGCAATACTCTGGTGCTTGAGCAGCGTGGGGTTTTTGTGCTAGAATTCAAAGCAGAAGGTTTTTCTGGGTGTCCTTACAAAAGGAGGGCAAGTTGTGTTTCTTTGGGCCAAGGGTGGAGCTGCTGGGGGGTGGGCTGTAGATGCCATCCTGAATTTCAAGTTTAGGCATTTAGTAGTGAGGTCTTGTTCTCTGGCTTGGGGTTTGAGGTGTTTTTTTTGATTTGTTTTTGTATTTGAGTTGGTTTTTTTTTTTTTTTCATTTAAGCCATATATTTCATGGCTTGCCTCTTTCTTTTTTTACCTATTCCCTTCTCTAGTCAGTACAAAGACAAACTTCAACTGTGTTGATAGCCAGAACACTGCAGGTCTAACACTGAAACTGCAACAGACTGTGAGATGTTGTGACAACCTTTTCATTTTGTCTTGTGTGACTTGTTATATACTTATCATCTCTGCGGGACTGATGGCTGGTTTTAAGAATGACTGACTGCAGAAAAATGAGCTCAAAACCTAGCCTTTGCTACAGGCTTTGTGCATTGATACTCATGTCTCTCACTGACCTTGGGGTGAGTGGACCAGGTATTAAATGTGTGACCTGTATGCTTCATCAGTCATATTTGCTGTCTGCTGCACTGTGGCTTGTGAGGCTGGAGTGAATTGCTTAGCCTGTTTTGCAGGATGGTTTGTTACCTCATTGGAAATATCATACTTAGATGCCTCTGAACAAGTATTTAGCATTTGGACAGTTGCAGCCTCCAGCTTCTCTTCTCCTTAGGAGATGCTGGGAGACCAATTGTGGCTGTGTTGCAGCTGGCTGGAATGTGTCATTTGGTTTGCTCTTTTCAGATGTGATAACTATGGCATGAAAGCGGCAAAAATAAATTTGCATATATATACTGTATCTAGGGGAGGCTGTGCTGGCTGTTTTGTGGTTTTCTTTCTCTCTTGTTTGCTCTATGTGGATCCTTTTTAAAACATGAGACTGGGAGGGGTGGTCTTGAGCACTGAGTCCAGCTCCTAGCACCTCTAGGTGAAGATATAAAAAAATATTCCTCCTTCTCCATGTGCCTTCACTGTATACAAAATGCTCCCAACTGCCTAAGCCAGTGAGAGATCCATAAAACTGTAGCTTCCATTGGAAGAGAGATCAAGGGCGTTGCTTAATTTCAAGTTTGCTGTTATAGGAAGAAATTTGTTAGGTGAAATGCTCAGATAATCCTACCAGTTGTCTCATGCTATGAAAAAAATCCAAAGCTGGTGCAGTTTATTCACTTAAAACCAAGACCCTGTTCCCTGTGTGCTTGACTTCTGTTTCATTTTTAAATGAAGAGCTTGTAGCTTCGCTATAGGTTTCCTGCTCTGGTATGGCTGGGGGGAAGGTGTGTATGCTTTTGAAGAGCAAAAAAGGGATTTAACAGTTTGATTGGGGATGGGAGTTGTTTGGTGTTCTTGGTGAAAAAAAGCAGATAGAGTGGATGTATCTTGCATTTGTCCTCTGAAATCCCTTGCTGTTAGATGCACTATAACAGTAATGCTTTGGGACAGAAGGAGGCTGGATGGACTTGTTTGGCTGCTGTAGTTAGTGCTTTCTCCTTGAAGCACTTGTTGGGTTCACAGGGATGCGTTCCCAATTGCAGGTTCCTTTGTCCTTAGAGTTGATTGCAAGTGAGGTTGATGGATATAAGCTATAAGCCACAGTCTAACATAAATGTCCAATTATATGCACCACTGGAGGCTTTTATGTTGGTTCTCCAGTTCTGCAGGATGCTCAAAGGAGTTTACTTCCCTTGCTCTAAGTCAGCTCTGCTTTGAAGAATTCAGTTTGGTGGATGACTTTGTCTCTTTTTTAAATTCCCTCTATCTTTGCAGCAGTTTTCAGGTCTCTATTTCTTGCCTTGTTCATTTTGAATTTTTGTGGATCACACATCAGCCTTTCTGCCTGCTCTGGGAAGTCTATGTCTTCTCTCAGCCCCAACTCATTATCCTTCCTTCTGAGGTTTGTAGACCCAAGTGGCTGTGTCAAATGTCTGGTTTGTTCTGTTTCCCGGTATTTTCTCCTCTTCCTCTGCCTTCCATGATGCCTCAAGCTGGAAGGGAGCATTCGCATCCAATTTCCCTAATCCTCTGCATGGTGATCTCATGACTCACACTGATTTGTGAGATTCAGGCAGTGTAAACTTAAATGGTAGCAGTGGTATCTGCTGTAGGATCTAACAGCCCCACTATGGAGCTATTTCAAAGCCTTCTCTAACTGCATGTGTGGTGTCCATAAAAGCCTGTGGCTCTTCTCCTGCAGGGAGCAGTGCAATAGTAACCAAATATAAGATGATGTAGAACTATAACCTGAACCCAGCCAGGCTTAGGGTGCCTAGTGACTGACTATGATTATATGTCTAAACCATAATATTCTTTTTTTTTTTTTTTTGGCCAGCAAAGCAGCTGGGGCAGTGTTACCATCATCAGTCCCAGGGGTCAATGATAGACTACTGTTTTCTTTATGGTAAAACATTGAATTGCCTGTGCCTCCCCCCCCGCCCCTTTCCAGATATTTGGTCACTTGTTTGAATTCAAAGTAGTCAGATCTGTCTCAAAATCTCTTCATGACAGGACCTTCTGCCCTTCCCAGAAACTGTGGTGGGGAGCTGACACTGCCTGTTTGACCTGCTGCATCCTCAAATAGTGGGGAGAGGCTGGCTCTTTGCAGAGTAAACCCCAGGTTGGCACATCCCAAAGACTGCTTTAACTTGCTGAGCTCTCATTTTCAGATGTTTCAGTACCTGTGTTGCTTGTGTTCTTGTCAGTGTTTACAAGCAGAATCGCTGTCCCCAAAGAAGCACATTATATTAGGTTGTGTGCAATGCTGTGTCAGCCTGACATCTGGACTAGCTTGTCAGAGCTGGCTTGGGTATTTCTAGAAAAAGCAATGTGCCCAGAGGGTGTTCTTGGGTTCCCATGGGAATTTTTTCTATGGAAAATAGACTATGAAATGAGAGGCATCTGGAGAGGATAGCAAGTCTCTGCAGCGTGTCTTGGAGGTGAACTGCATATCTCTCTCTCTCTCTCTCTCTCTCTCTTCTCTCTCTTCCTTTCTTCTCACTTGTCTATGCGGCATCTTTGTATGACTACTCCAACGCATCTTGCAATGTAGGACAGATATATTGAAAAACACGTCACTGTAATGTGCTCTGCCTGTTGCAGAGAGATCCCTTGTGGGCCTGGCCCTCTCCCTTGCACTCTGGATTGTCCCTACAAGGTTGTGTAGGGACAGAGTATTTATTGCCTGTAACACCAAAGGAGGCATCCAACAAAATAGTATGTTAGGAACTGTTGTGTATTTTGGTTCTAGTTCTTTCTCTTTTGCTTTATACACAAATGAATCCATGAATATACTTCTTGCCTAGGAACTCTGAAAAATTCTACAATCCAGCTATGAAATGTGTTTCTTTGTGCTTGGGCAGAGTAACAGTTTGTTTTTTTCCCTACTACTAGAACTGAACTCTCCTCAACCCCAAACACTTCGAGAAGAACTGTATAGTGTCAGGAGAGACTTAACCCCAGGTATATAGCTGTTGATCTGCTCTGACAGTGGTATGCATAACAAGTAACTTGTTCAAGTCAGGGGGTGTGATCTGTATGCGAAGCCTATAACATCTTGCATGAATGCACAAAACACCTGAAGTTGGAGTCTTGCACTCTTCATTCAACATTTTTTTTTCTAGAAAAAGAATTACCAAAAAGTAATTAAACACCATATTTCTGGATTATCTTTAATTAGCACAGAGGTAAGGCACTGTACCTCCAGAGTTTTCCTTTGCTGTTCACTGATTATGTCACAACCAATCTTTAATAGTTTTCAGATGGAGCAATTATCTCCTGTTCTAGTAATTCTCTGCTCCTAGTGTCTTGCCAATTAGATACAGCCTTTAGCCACATTCACTAACTTTGTCTGAAGTGACCCTTAACTTGCAAATATTGAGTTTTATTGTTTTATTAAAAATCATTTTCTAACAGAAATAATCTCCAAGAAAATCATCATCTAGTGATTCTCTTAATCTTTGGGAATCTGAAATCTGGTGCAGATTATATTTGAGTCTTCCCTTCACTTAAAGTGTTGATTCAAACTTCTGGATTTATATGCGCTTAAACACAAAGTGTCTGCAACTGTCTCTGAGCTTGGAGCCTTAGGCAAGTCTTCAGAAAAGATTATTTGTTTTCTTTTCTGACCCTTATACTGGACCTGTACAGTGTTTTCATAGAGATATGGTGAGAGACTGGTCCTCAACTACATGTACTGTGAGTCTTGTGTGTTGACCATTAATTTATTCAAATCTTAGGTAAACTTGGGAACATAGAGACAATATTTTCCTCTGGTCACACTAAAGAGGAGGGTGATGCTGCATTTGCTGGGAGTGCAATGAGGCTAAGCCAGTAGCTGAGCAGCTGTGCTGTGATATTTATTTTTTACTTACCATAGTTGTTTCTGCAATTGAACCAAAGCTGTTGATGAAAATGTTGCAGCTGACATTCACTGGTGGGCCTGCATGACAAATACAGATTGGAACAGCGGTTCACTGTGTGCTTACAAGACAAAGTATTTCCACTCTAGTGTTAAAACCTATTGTGGGAACAGGGTGACTGAGGGGTGAGTACAGGAATAAGGTCTGGTTCACTTGGCTTAGTCTAGTCTTGATTCTGATACCAGTTGGACATCAGACAATGTTCTTAGTTAACCTCCATTACCCTGTTTGGGAGAGTGTTTATATATCTCTTCTGTGAGCCATTTTGATGAAAAGGAATAGATCACAGCCAGGCCAGCCAGTTTTCTAGATATCTTGACATTGCTATATGGGTGGCAAGCTCACCTTGAACATGATAGCAATGTATCCTAGAAAAGAACTGAGAGACTATTGACAGACCCTCTTGTTTAGAACTCTATACTTTTAAAACACTCATTTAAAGCATCTAAATGTTTCTCAAGGACGATATGCTCCCTATGGAGCCAGTGCAACAGGGTGTGCCGTAGGCATCAGGCTGGGTAAAGGAGCAAGTACCCCGTGGGATAATGGTGGTGTCTGCTAAGGCTCATAGCTGGATAAGAGACTTCAGGGCTCTGCCAGCAGAAATTCTCTGGCTGTCCTCTTTTGGGAGAGGGTACTCCCAGACTTTGGGCCATGCCTCTCCTGGGCTTTATTTGCTTTCAGACCAAAGCTTTGTTTGGCCTGTTTGTATTAGAAAAGTTAATGGGCCACCAAAGGAGAAGAGAGAGGATTAAAGGATGAAAAGATTGTGGTTAGAGGTTATGGGGGTCAGTCTGTTTGGGTGGTACTGGTGCCCAAAGGTCTCGGTATGACTGGAAGCGGATCACAATGTTGCCCAGCAAATTTAAAGCGGAAATGTTGCACTTGCACCAAGGGAGATGCCAAGAGCTGTAGTTGAGCACAACACAAAAAGCTGAAGAACACTTTGGAACCAGAGACATATCTGGTGCCTGGTAAACCAGTGGCTTGCTTGTATATAATGAGAGGATTTCTGCAGAGAGTTAACAAGGGGAGGGGAAAAGCAAAAGGAACCTCTCCTCTGGGGGCTCCCAAAGGACCTGCTGCTGGTGCTGTCTGGTGTGTGGGGGAAAGGCAGCCCTGGCAGAGAGCAGAGGACACTGCCCCAGGAACCAAGGTCCCCCTTTAACACTGGGGGAATTAATCTCATATCATCCCTGTGACAGATGCTTCTGGGAAGATAAGATGTGTGGAAATGGGGAGTGAGGATTTTTAGATTATTCCCCCATCCTTTATGGAGACAAGGATGGTGTCTGCATTTCAAACACTGCCTGATGGCTCAGCCTCACTGGGGGAGTGACGCTTGCCCGTTAAGGTCACATCTGCAGTCTGGCAGTTGCTGCAAGATGAAATACTGGGGGGGAGGAATGGCTTAAATGAGAGGCTTTGCACTAATTAGAGGCACAACTTCCTCCTCTGTGGAAATTAATGGAATTTCCTGATTACTAAGTAACACTTGGAGCTTGGTTTGCTCCTCATCATTTCCCTTTCCTCCTCTCCTACTCTGGCTTCTTCTTTGTGCCTGTCCCCTGCAGGAGAAGGATTGCAGCCATGTAACAGTACTACTCTCTATGGCAGGGACTTTCTTGGTATGAGTCCCAGGCAACCGGAGCAGGCTTCTGTCTGACCAGCTCCCAGACAGCCGTTTGCCAGCTCAGCAGCAGCTCATGTATGGTTCAATCTGTGCAGCTCTTCCTCCAGACAGTTAAACATAGGCATGGGCTAAAATATCAGATACAAAATGGTGTCTTTTTTTTTTTGCCCCCTTCACCAACCTCTCTTGTCCAAAAGGCTTGTGAAGCTTATCCAGCAGCTGAAAGCACACAGTTGATCAGGCTTTAGCACTTGTTTTATCCCTCCTGTACTGCTCCTGTTGAGCTCAGGAGTATATAGTTTTCTTTTCTACATCCATCTTATAAACCACATAGGAGGTCCATGTGCATGTGACTTTCCATTCCCAAAGGGCACAGCATAAAAAAAATGCTGAGCTGACCTCCTGGATGACTGCATGTGCTCATGACTCTGCATGGAAGATTTTTGCCCTCCTCTTCCTCATCCTGTGCTGATGAGAAGCTGAGTGCGGGATGAGCTTGGCCTAGTGCATGTGAAGACAACTCTGTCCTTGGGGCAGCCCAGCTCTTGTTGAGGCACTGCGCCCTTCCCACTGCATCCAAGGGGAGCTGTGAGCACTCTGCAGGGTTTTGGGTCTTTTTTAGATTGTGTCAGGATCTAGAAACTTCCCTGCCTTCCACCGAAACGTGCCACCTCAGCAGTGGGATGCAGCTGTGAAGGAATACAGTTTTCCAGCAGCAAGGGTTAAGGGTACAGCCTGGGTGCGAGGCCCTTGTCCCACACCTGCCAGGTTCAGCTCTGTCCCTGCCTGAGTCACTGACTTCATCCTCCAACTTAAGAAGCATTTGGGCCTTGGTTTCTTTGTTCTCAAAATGTGAATCCACAGCTAAGTCCAGACTTTACAGCATTTACAGAAAAGCTGCAATCTTCTTTTTGTTAATCTTCCCCTCCCCAAAAATCAATCTAATACAGATCTTTGGTATTATTTTCATTTAGATCTAAGCCATTAAAATGCCCTTATGAGTTACTGCAGTTAATTTAAATGACATGCTTTGAGAGCTACAACCCCAAGCTCTGTAAAACATCCTCCTATGCCTCCCATATAAATTGGAGCCTGATTTATGTGTGGGAGGCTAAGCCAGCAAAACTGCCCTGTGGGGAAGGTGTAGTTCATTGAAATAAAACTGAAATTAAATTATCTCAAATAAAAATGCAATACAGCTGCCTTTGGCAGGAAGATAATGTATACATTTCATTAAATATTAAAGTTTAATTTCTTTTGTGTGTGTGCATAACTTAGTGGTAGGGAGGTTTTTTAACTCTTTGTGATTTGGACAAAACCAGCAGCGTTCTCTGTTGCCTAGTTGATTACTAGGACATAAGCTTCCCACCTATACTGGGCTTTTAGATCCAAATATAGAGCTTATTGTTTGAAGCTGGATGGCAGGTGCTGTCACCATGATGAATGGGTTCTGGGAGTCCTATGTTAGCATTACCAGTGACTCTTGGCGGGGAGGAGGAATTGGTAGCAGGAAACAAAAGAAGTGAATGAAATGAGTGTTGAAGAGGGCTGAACAGTGGCTGAGAGGGGACAGGTCCTGCTTTATCCCTGGGTGTGATTCAAGGGCAAATAGCTCTGGGAAAGTCAGCTTGTTTGAAAAGAAAACAAACACACACACAAAATAATCTGAAACCCCCACAAAACCCACTCTTGTTAGAAGGGGTGTTTTGAGGAGCAAAGAAAGAGGTTCTCTCCCAGAGCCTGCTTTGATGCTGCTTGGCTGCCAGGGAGTATAGGGTGAACCAGGGAAATTGGGTGTGAAATGCAGCTGTTGTGATGGAGCTGTGCTGGGCAAGAGCTTAAGAGCCCCTTTGCTAATGGGGGACAGTGATGGGTCAGAACTGCCCCAGCATCTTGCTGGATTCTTCTGGAGTTGATGGGAGAGACTGCTCATGGCTTCAGTGGGTGTAAGGGGGGAGCATTGCCCACTATTAGAAGGTGCTGTGGGCAGTGACTTAAGGAGAAACTAAAGTTGAAGTTTTTCTCCTAATCTGTAAGATGTTCAGCTCCCTGCCAGTCACTGCTTGGTTTGGCAGGATCCATGATCCCTATATTAAAGTTTTTCCTGCATGTCCTACAAGATAATTTCCATTCTGAGTGTAAGTCAGATGCCTTTCTAGATATCTACAAGGGACCCGTGAGCCAAATCTCTCATTATCATAAATATTTCATATGAATATAAAGACTGTTCCTATTCCATATACAGTGAGGGAGGCATTCATGAGGTTTGCATGCAGTTTTCAGACACAAAATAAAGCCACAAACCAGAAGTTTTGCATACCTTTAAAATTTGGCCTGATCCTGGCATCGTATCCAGAAGTTCGCCCCATCAACTTATCCAAGAAATCGGAAGGAGACATGGGCTTGGGGGCAGATCGTGCTGCTGCTTCAGCTTCTTTGGAGGCTGCCAGGCTGTGTGAGTAGAAAGAAAGAGGAGGTTTTAGTGTACATCCCATACTGGGTAGGGTTTGGGGTCCAGAAACAGCAGTCGACATCTCATTCTTGTTGTGAGGCAGGATGGGTACCTGTGTGAATTCCTAATGAAACTGGTCTCTGCTAATTTGTTTGCCCAGCCCAAACATCTCAGAATACAGAATCCCAGCTGCCACCAAAGTAGAAGAGAGATGATGAGTGGAGAAAATCCTTTTGTGAGTTTAGGTATAGCTTCTTGGCATGCCACTGAATTACACATGTGAACTCTGGCACTGAGCTCCACAGGTAAAATACACTCTGAGATTGGCCTTGGGCAGCAATTACTGCTTAATTACATGGCAAATAGCAAGGAGCATATTTGGTACTATGATAGTCTGATTTTCTGAAAGGCAGGTAGGATCAGAGCAATCCAGAATTTGAGGCTTAAATGAGTGTCATCTGCTTGTATAGCTCCTGCAGAACCTTTGGGACTGTAGGGGATAAATATATTTTTGCTTCCTGCTTGCTGGTGAGTCTGGCATTTGCTATTGGTACCTGCAATGCAGGGGTCTGCGTTCCATACAGCAACATGGTTTCTGGACTGGGAGGTGTCTGGAACGTGATCCTGAAATGATACTCATGTTGGGTTGAGGATGAAAGGAAGTGAAATCTTTTTGGGACTTGTATGACCTCTCAGACAGAAAGAGTGAAATTACCAATTTATCTGTCGAAGATGAAAATCTCAGACTGGCAATGTGCTTTCTGACTCTATGGGAGTCCACAAGATCTAGAGGGTGATGATTTGGGCTTAGGAAGTTTCTGCTGTTACCATCTGCATAGGAGCAAGTGACTAGGTGCTCATCCTCAACTTTGCAGGAAGTTTGATTTCCAAGACAGGAGTGGACAAAATTCAGTTCCTTCTCTATGCTTATATGTCTTCAACTCCAACACAGATCTGTTCCCAGGCTGAAAGTGTGGTATAAAATTGCCCAGATTAACAAAAAAACTATACCCCATAGGTGATATGTAACATGCCTAGGGCAAGAGCTGTCTTTGCCTGTGAGTTCAGATGCTTGATGCTGGTTAAAGCCTACAGGCTGTATTGCAATGCAAACGTGTAATAAGCCAAAGAAAGGTGCTCAGGAGGAAGTGAGGCTCATTGTTTCACCCTTTGCAAAACTCCTGAAATTTTTAAAGTACAAAGACTGTGTGGGAACTGTGATAAATCAGTGTGCAGAGCAGCTGAGAGACCTAAGCATGTTTGTCACAGGTGCAAGATAGTCAGCTACATGTGTCCTCGCAAAGGACACCATGGAGTCCTGTTACAGCATGGGGACATCGCCTTGGGAAGTTTTGATTTCTTCTTTCAGGAGACTCTGCAGTAGTCAAACCTGCTGTCTTTCAGGAGAATAATGCTAAGTACTGACCCAAGATCTATCAGGAAGAATTTAGGGATGGTTACTATGTGTGACATTAATGTGACCCTGCTCTCAAAGACCTGTTCATACAATACAAGCTTGAGCTGAGACTCCAAAGACACAAATATCAAGGCCTTGTCTAGGTAACAAGAGCATTTTTGAACCATCAAGTTCCTCAGGACTTAAAAATGGATCCAAAAGGGCTTGGGTGCCATAATTTCAAAATCAGGAGTCTGTAGGAACCTGTACCGTGTTGACTCTTTTCTCTAGTGTTAGCAGTGATGGCTTGCCAAGCCTTGGTTTTCAATCCTGCAAACTCACGCCTGCAGTCTGGCTTCTTTTGCAAGCTGCAACTGTATTAGGGTTCTCTGATTACTAGATCTTTTAACTGTCAAAAATGGTTTAATTTCTGCAATAAAGAGGGGAGACAAATTCCAGATCACTTCCAGTAAGACTCTAAAACTAAGATTTAATTCACCCTTTATATGTTCACAATTCACTCCCACACTGGACCTTATCTAAACTGGCAGATGCACACTCATACTTGGAGGTGATGTGACAAGGTGTGGATCTAGCTTTTACTATAGTCACATGCCCTTTCTTGTCCTGTCCCCATCTCTGCTCCGAAAAACTATGCAAAGCCAAATCAGTGTGTTTCAGGGGTAAACGGGGGTGTGGAATGGATGATGTTTTTTAATATTTTTTTTACGAGAACAACAGGGTGCAATTGATTTGCAAACTCAGAAGAAGAAAGCTGGGAGTGGGAGGACAATCAATACTGGACTATTGCATTCCAATAGAGTGTCTGCATGGCAATGAGTCGAGAGAAAAGATTTCAATTAAGCAGCAAATGACTTGGTAACCAAAGACTCCTGCTACTTCAGCAGCAAGATGCCAGATAGTGCAATACACTCATTTCTTCTTGTTAACTGTAGACTGGAGGGAAGTATATGGAAGTGGAAAAGTGGGGGGTGGGGGGGGAAGAGGCAATAGAAATCTAATAAGCTTTAAGTGCAAAAAGATAATTAGAAACTGCAATTCCTCTGGCATTCACTTTAAAAAAAAAAAAGGTGAAAATGTACAGAAGTCAGTGTTCAGCTTTCCTGTAAATTCAGTGTGAAAGCCTGTGCTGAATGTGTTCACTCCACTTCTGTAAGTGACTCTGCTGGCATTTCTTGGGTGCCGTTTTCTGATTATTTCTGCATCAAAGTTGCAAGTAAATGAATTTCATGGGCTCAGTTCCTACATGGAAGTATATATTTAGATAATTGAATCCCACAAGCATCTGGGAGAGGACCACCCTTGCACAGCCACATGCTTTCTGCAGCTTTGTGCCCATCCCTACGAGCAGTTTCTGTGACCGCCTTTGGGGATGTGCTGAAGCTGCCCACCATGGTTTCATGCCTCCTGGTGTGTGTGTTTTAGAAGCCTTGTTTGGCTGCTGTGTGCTGTTACCCAGGTGACCTAGGAATGAAGAGTTCCAAGTTTCTTCTGGTTTCTGTTTGGTTACTAAATGTCTTCCTAAAACTAGCTGGGAACAACTTCCCCTGTAGATTTAGTAAGAAAAGGCAAGAAAGCAGTGGATGAGGGAATAGCAAAGCCTTTCCAGCAGCAGGCAGATGTGTCTACTACCTAGCTCAGAACTAATAGTAGAAATCACCCCTGGGAGCTACAGAGGGGCTGGCCCACCCCACCGTGCTTTGGAGGGATGTGTTACATCTAACACAACCTTGAAATGTTCATTCTTCTTGTGACGACTTTTTGCTGTGGCAGTTTAGCTCAGCACCCCAAAAAGCTATCAACTTCTGCTCTCTTCAAGGTCTGTCTTGACCAGTGCTGCGTGTGCATCCTTGAGAGCTTTCTGTGATTTTCTCCATCCCTTAGTTCTTACCAAAGCACCCTTGAAAATCCAACAGAACCATTCATCTCCTGGTCTGGCAGGGATGAGGAGAGGGAAATTGCCAAGTGATTTGACAATTATTGATGATAGAAAATAATTGGAAATTTAGGGTAGGTTGTTGTGTTGTTCGAAGAGAAAATTTATTCTCTGAATAAAAACCAAAAGGAGGCAAAACATGTAACAAAACCACCGAGGATGTAGTTTGCATTGGTGCAAGACTGTTGTCTGAGCTGAGAGTATCTTGGTGCATTTCAATAGCAGCCAGACTGCGGCTTATCTTATTCACGCTGGTGTAATCCCTAGTGGATCTGGCTGAGAAAGTGCCATCAGGCAATCATCACAGCAACAACAATGGCAAAGATCTCTTCAAAGGGTCGATGAACTAGCATAATCTTTTGTGACATTAATGCTTGCATGTAAGCAGACAGCACCGAGCCCTTAGGAGCTCCAGCCCGCTATCAGGCACCTGAAGGTGAAAGCTGGTGGAGATGAACAGCCCAGCTCAGGATTGTATTCCTTAAAATGGAGGAGTTGGGCTTTGCAGGACACCTGTTATTCATTTCTCCCAGCCTACGCAGGCACTGTTTGCTCTGCATTATTTTGTTTCAGCTAAACAGATGATATATTCTTATAAAGTTATTTGTTTAGAAAGTGGCTCTTCTGCAGTCTGAACGTGTCAGTTTGCTCGGTTCCCAGCTCCCCAGCTGGCTGTTTCCTCCTCCTCTCTCAATTTATATGGCCCTTGTGCAATATCTTCATGCTTTTTTTTTTGGCTGTGCCTGTGGTTGTCCATCCAATTAAGTCCAATATCACAAACTGCCCAGTTCTGGTTGAATGCTGATACTGAGAAATGCGAATTTTTTTTCTTTGTGAAGAGGAGAGATGAAGGAATTTAATTAGCATGGGGCCTCTATTCCCCTGTCAAATAATTTAATTGTTAATCATTAATTCTGAGGGTAAAAAAGTAATGTCTGGCAGCATAAACAGAAACTGTTGCAAAACAAGTGTTCACAGAGGAAATGTATCTCTGCAAAGCATGGAAGGCTCAGGCCCCTGTGAAGGTAAACTGGTGCAACATCAGTGGCTCAAGAGACGAGCAGTGGGTTTATTTCTCTGGTTGGGCTCTCTGCAGGTTGGGGAAATAGAAGATACTGAGCCAGGGTAAGTGATCAGCTGCTGCTCAGCACAGGTTTCTGAAGTGGTTTGTTTATTTTTGAAACGCAATTCAAGGCAGAAAGCTTGGCAGGGATATGTTGAGAGTAGTGTTCAGGTGAGCTGGCTCACGCATTTGTCCTTCAAATGTGATGTTTTCTGTAAGTAGGTATCCCAGGAGAGTTGGAATATCCATCAGGTCTTTGAGGCAGGCTGAGGTGACCAGTATAAAGATTTCCTCCATTACCTTCTAAGTCAGGCTAGAGCAGTATCGGGTCTTGGGCACACGGGAGAATTCATCAGCTTAGTTTTATTGACCAGCAGGCTCTGAGAGGCATAGTTGCAAAGAGAACACCAGATGGCTGGGCATAGAAAGGCATCTTGTTGTCCATGATTAAGTAGTGTTACCGATGGTAACTCTCCCCCTGCTTTTCCTGAACCATCTTGCTGGTCCCTGAGCTGGTACCTCTTGGGCACAGAGGCCCCTGAGCGGAGACTGGAGCTCAGCAGAGCCCAGCCTGTGTTCAACC